CCCCAGCGGCGCCGCGCGCGCCACCCAACCGCCGCCGCCCGCCGCTAGATCCCAGGCTGCTCCGCTCCCAGCCAACAAAACACCTCCCACCGCGCCTCCAAACCCCGGCTCGGCGCGTCCCCAACCGTCACCATCTCACCCCCATCCCCCCTCCCCTCCCCGCCCGGGTAACGGGTTTTTCTCCCGCCGGCAAAAACCCGCGGAGTCATCCGGCGCCCCGGCGAAGTTTACCATCTCGAATTCTGCTGAAGCTCACGCAAGCAAGGCAGAGAAAAGGCTAGTCGGACGCACGGCGAGGCCTCGGACACCTACTCCGTCGTCGCACCGCGATTCAAACTGCGCTGTCTCCCGCCTTCCCTGCTCCCTTTATACCGCAGAATGTTCCCTCATCCGGGAACTCGGATTGCTCATCCCACCAATGGCGGCCACCCGCCCTCGGGACGCGTCCTTGGGGCGTCAGCCAATGAACAAGCGAAGAAAAGGGCAGAGGGGCGGGCTCTCCACAACTCGAGCTATGATTGGCCCAAGGGGAGAGAAGTGGGGGAGGCGGAGGGACGGGGACGAGAGGGTGGGGGGGGGGGGAGAAGGGCAAGGCGGCGGGAGGAAAGAAACACTGCGAGCAACGCCGCAGCAGCGTAGAGACCAGCCCGCCGCGGTCACGTGCCTGGGAGGAGGAGCTGCCGGGCGACTGAGAGAGGGGCTCGCCGTCGCGGTGTCGCCTACCCCGCCCGGTGCCCCAGTGTGGGTCTGGGAGCCGACGTGAAGGCATCACTCCGGGCCTCCCCCATGGCCCAGCCGCCTGCGCTCTGCCTCTCCGCGGTCGCCCTCCTCGGCCCCCGCCTCCGTGCTGCTGCGGGGTGGGGGCTGCGCCCGTCTGACAGGTGGCGCGCACACGGCCGGGGGGGGGGGGGAAGCCCTCCGCGACGCACCACCTTGATGGACGCTTCTGGGCTCGCTCCCTTCCCGCCCTGTGAGGCAACAAATGGTGGGACCAAGTCACCACCAGTCCTACTGGTCTCTAAAGATCATTTTATCCTCGGCTGGGAGTAAATAATCCTCCCTTCTCCCTCCCTCCTTCCCTCCCTCCTTCTCCTCCTTCTTCTCCTCCTCCTCCTCTTTTTCTTCGTTTCCTCTTCTTCCTCCTTTCCCTCCTCCTCCTTCTCCTCCTCTTTTTCTTCTTTTCCTCTTCCTCCTCCTCCTCCTCTTTTTCTTCTCCTCCTCCCCTCTTCCTCCTCCTCCTTCCTCCTCCTTCTTGCTCCTTCCCCCTCCTGCTCCTCCTCCTCTTTTTCTTCTTTTCCTCTTCCTCCTCCTTTTCCTCCTCCTCCTCCTCCTCCTTTCTTTTCCTCCTCCCCTCCTCCTCCTCCTCCTTCCTCCTCCTCCTTGCTCCTTCCCCCTCCTCCTCCTCCTCCTCCTCTTTTTCTTTTCCTCCTCCCCTCCTCCTCCTCCTCCTCCTTCCTCCTCCTTCTTGCTCCTTCCCCCTCCTCCTCCTCCTCCTTGCTCCTTCCCCCTCCTGCTCCTCCTCCTCTTTTTCTTCTCCTCCTCCCCTCCTCCTCCTCCTCCTCCTCCTCCTCCTGCTCCCTCTCCTTCCCCCTCCTCCTCCTCCTCTTTTCACCCTGTTCCTCATCACAAACCACATTTCTGCTGGAAACTACACATCAGTGAGTTGTAACTACAGCCTGGTGTCTGTAAAGTTGATTGAGTGAAACATCAAAGCAACGATGCGTCAACTTTTCTACTCTAAACATTTTGCTAATATGATGGATGATCAGTAAATGTCAGTTGCGGTAACTAACACGAATCACGAGCAGTTACAGATGGTCCGGGTAATCAATTACAAATGATGGGTTTAAAAAAAAGTACTGCACACACAGTACTACCATCATGCCTGCTACTTAGGCTCCCAAGGAATAGATTAATAACACCTGTAGACATCTCTGACCGCTTGGGGAGTGTAGTGATCGGAATCTTGGCAATTTATAGTACATCATAGTGTGTGACACTATTAATGTAATGAGTTTCAACATGAAGAGAATTTTCAAACAAACTCACAGTACTTGAGATTGGGTTTTAGAATGAAAGATTTTATCTTGTTAGACCTCCGTGTTTCGAGGAGGTTAATGCTAGAGAAAAGAGTCCCAGAAAGTTTGACAACTAAGCCTTATTCTTTCTTCTCCTTAGAACTAAGGAATTGTTATGATAAATCATTAAGTTGATACGACATATAACTATGAGAGTCGGTTGCTAATGACTCATGCCTGTAATTCCAGCTACTCAGGAGGTTGGGATCTGGTGAATCGAAATTCAAAGCCAGCCGGCTCAGCAAAGCCCCTAGAGACTCTGTCTCTAGGGAAAAGCCAGACTGAAGGTGTGACTCAAATGGTAGAGGGCCAGCTGTGAGCTAGAAATTGGATTGAGAATGCAAATCCCAAACACACACACACACACACACACACACCCTCTAGGAAGCCTGGTGCAGTAGCTACCCCCAACTCCAATGAGGTTTCCTGATGTTCCCCACAAATCAACACTAGTATCTTTTTTAAATTTGATGGTTCTGTATGAGCTCTCCACTATAAAGTCCAGCTAAAGGAAATGACTTGTTTCACTGCAGAGTGGTTGAGAAAATAAACTCAGAAGTAAGTAGCCTCCCCTTTCCTGCAGAAGCTGTACCTTCTGGTGTCACATTACATTTTTGAACCACCAGTTCTAAGGAGAAAAGGATATAGTACTGCTTCTTTTCACACTGTGGTTGATTCAGGGAGATGGTATTTAAAGTGTGACAAGCCAGATGTCAGTGGCTCACAGCTGTAATTCTAGCTACATAGGAGGCTGAGATCTGAGGATCACAGTTTGAAGCCAACCCAGGTAGGGAAGTCCATGAGACTCATCTCCCATCAATGACAAAGAGCCAAAAGCAAGGGTGTGCCTCAAGTAGTAGAGCACCAGCTTTGAGCAAAAAATCTAAGCTGACAGTGCCCAGGCTTGGAGTTCAAGTCCCAATACTGGCACATACAAAAAAGTACATAATAGCATATGCTCAATGTAATCACTCAGTAAATAACTGGGTATTGGGAGATGGATGAAAGTTGCTGCTATTGATACTGAAACAAAAATCCTGAAGCCTGCCCCGGGGATACAAAACTGAGTGATCCACATTCCAACTAAAATCCAAAATTAGCTTCATATAGTCAAACTTTTTTTTTAAGGAAGGCAAGGACAATGTCAGTTTTTTCTCTTCATAGCTCTACTACTTTTCCTGCCCTAGAAAAGGCAATTATGCAAACATGTTAATTTTGTTGGCTTATCTTTTCCATATTTGTGTTCACAATAATACATGTGTATACATGTACATAATATATGTATGTCATATTCTAGCACTATTCAATCCTTTTTGTTCAATGCCAAACAATACAGTACCATACATTAACACCCAGGATATAACCACTCCCTGCTAATGGAATATGTGACTGTAGCTTTGCTCTGTCAGATGGTTAGAAAAGACAGAGTGCGGTCCTCTAGTTGTTCTATTTGCCAGGCAATATGCCAAGCAGTAGCAATTGCAACACAGGATATATAGGTCTGAGTCCTTCCCTCAATCTAGCTGAGACATTAAACTAGGAGGACAATTCAGATAATGCTTTAATCATTAAGGCCACATTAGGAAACCCATCACAAAGTAACTACCTGATTGGCTGCCAGTTTAATAGTTTAAAAGACAGGGAAATTTGTGAACCGGTGTGTTTTGGAAGAGCTTATGTTGAATGGAACTAAGGAAAGTGTTTGGCTAGAATGATGGCAGGTTGGTGTAAAGAAATGGCAGTTAGAAAGCACAAGTGGCAGATTCCTAGTGATAACACTCCTAGTGATAACACTATCTACATTTTCCCCATCCCCTATTAGTCTTAGAACTGCCCCTTTTCAGCAGTCCAAATGGTGTCCCTTGTCTATAGGAAAATCCTGTAGCACTGAGGTAGATAATTGATAATGAGCAGAAATTTCTTGCAGTCCTGGAAGGTAAGACGGTAAAAATCAAGGATACAGTGCTGAGTCCACTGGATGGATAGGCAATATAGTATATATTTTCTGCATTAAAACCTTTTATGGACTGAACACTGATGGCTCACACCTATAATCCTAGCTACTCAGGAAGCTGAGATCTGAGGATCATAATTCAAAGCCAACCCTGGCAGAAAAGTCGACGAGACTCTCAAATCTCAACCAGCAAGAAGCTGCAAGTGGAGGCATGCCTGAAATCGTTGAGCACCAGCCTTGAGTAAAAAAGCCAGATATTGAGGCCTTGAGTTCAAGTGAGTAAAGGGTTTTATAAAGTTTCTGATCCTTTCATGTGGGCAGATCACATAGGTCTCAATCATCTCCCAAAACCCATACTTGGTAGCACCTTTACACCTTTGTACTGGGGATTACATTTCAATATTAGTTTGAGATTGGATGGAAAAACATTGAAATCATAGCATGTAGTCATCAGAATAAAAACTACCTTTGGCCATCAAAATAAATTTTGAGTTTTGACCAAAATAATGTAAGCAGCACTGGTGAGTGTAATATTCAGGAAGTTCCTAAGTAAAGAGGGTCCATTTCTTCTTTTCTTCTTGCTGACTTGAAGATTAAAGTTCAAGAACCATTTTGGAGCAAGGCACTAGTGGTTCATGGATGCTATTCCTGCAGCAACTTAGGAAGCTGAGTAGCTAGGATTACAGGAGGTTTAAAAAGAACACAACAAAAACATTTTGGATCATAAAATGAATTGTGGGAATGTAGGTCACACCTGAGAATAAGATGGAGCAGGGTTTTTGATACGATGGAGTATCAAGTTTACATTGGATCTCTACGTTTATATCTATTTTGTTTGATCACTTTTTAAAACTACTGGTACTAGAGTTTGACCTCAGGACCCGAGCACTGTCCCTTAGATTTTTGACTCCAGGCTGGTGCTATAAAATTTGAACTACCCCCCCCCCCCCGCAACTTCTGGATTATTGAGATAAGAATCTCACACAGTTTCTTGCCAGGGCTGATTTGAACTTCAGTCCTCAGGTCTCAGCCTCCAGATTACAGGCAAGAGCTACTGGCACCCAGCTTTTTTGAGCCAGTTTTATTTAGGTTCATCTCACTTGCACCAGAACCCAAATAGTACTGACCACAAATAGTACTAATCTCTATAAGCTGTGTTTTTATTATACATACCTACAAGAAGAATGAGAGGAAAGAGGACA